ACCCAGAGCAGAGATGCTTAAGATGGGGATTTGGAAGATTAATGCTGTTGAGTTCAGCACCATGGCCCTTTTCTATTTTAGTTTTCGTGTGTGTGTGTGTGTGTGTGTGTGTGTGTGTGTGTGTGTGTGTGTGCGTGTGTGTGTGTGAGTGTGGATACATGCATGCACTGCACACATGTGAAGGTCAGAGAACAGACAACCTCTTGTGTTGGGCCTCAGGTGCCTGCCTTCCTTTTGAGACAAGGCCTCTCGCTGGCCTAGAACTTTGCCAGGATTATCTGCCCATGCCTCTCATCTTGCCATCACTGGGTTAGAGGCACATGCCACCATACCCAGCGTTTTCCCACACTTGTTTTTATTGAACTTCTGTGTATTTCATACAGAATATCTCTATCAATCTTAATCATCTTTACACCCCCTTCCCCACTGGCACCCTCCTATACCCCCCCACTGGAATTCATACATTCTGTCATTTGTCTTAAGGCCTATTTGTGTAAAGTTAGTGTCCCCAGACATCCCTCAGTACAAGTTCATCTACTGAAGTCTAGGCAGCCTGTGCCGAGTCCGTCCCTTTAAGAAGATCGGCTCTTCCTCGCCCGGCAGTAATCAGTTGCCAACATTTCTTCAGCTAGGACTGGGGCCTGCTGTCCATTTCTGTGCTGAGCTTTTGTCTGCTTCAGTCTGCTTGGGTCGTGTGCACGCTGTGACACCATTGCCGTAGGTTCATCTGAGCGAGGTCTCAGGAGCTCGTAGGACTGACTCTATTTCCAAATGGTGCACCTCCTCCCTGGCTCTTACAGTCTTTCCGTCCTGTCTTCTCACCATACCCAGCTTAAAAAAATTTTTTTTCTTTTTATGTGTATGAGTATTATATCTGCATGTGTGTAAGTGCACCCGTGTCATGCACTGCCCACTGAGGTCAGAAGAGGGCATTAGATCCCCTGAACTGGAGTTAAGAACAGTTGTTAGCCACCATGTGTGTACTGGGATTTGAACCACGGTCTTCTACAAAAACAACCAGTGCTCTTAACCCCTGAGCCATCTCTCCAGCTCCATACCCAGCTTTTTTTTAAAAAAATTCTATTTATTATTTATGTATGTGTGCATTCATATGTGCACGTGCCATGGCCCATGAATGCAGCTCAGAGGACAACTTGCAGAAGTTGGCTCTCTCCTACAATGTGGAACCCGGGGTTGAACTAAGGTCATCAGGCTTGGTGGCAGTCACCTCTACCTGCTGAGCCATCTCTCCACCAGCTTCTTATGTGGGTTCTAGGAATCTGAACTCCATGCTTGCGTGACAAACACTTTGCCGATTGAGCCTTGTCCTCTGACCCAGAAAGTCTTTGAAAAGGTGAGAACACCCAGCTAGATGGGCTGGGCAAGCCGGCTAAATGGAAATGTGCTTTTGGTTGCTATACTGGTCAATCCCAATAAAAGCACCCTTGGCCAGTGCCTTCCATGGCTCCTGCTTCTTGTAGGAAAAGTTTGAATGGGAGAACCTAGCGTCCTATGGAGGATGCTAACAGGAGGCAAGAAGCATGGGAAACAAAGAACAGTGTCACAGGGAATGGAAAGCGCAGTTCTGAAGAAGGTGGTTAGAGTTGACGGTGGGAAGGTGACAGAACTTGGGAGAGAGAAGGGCTGGGCAGGCCAGGAGGGGACGCTGTGGCATGTCTCCCAACTTTATAAAGCAACTTCTAACGTCCTGAATGGGCCTCATGACTCCCAGTCCATGCCGAAGTCCGAACTAGCTAGGAACTGCTTATGTTGCTCTCAAAACTATTGACAGGATTTAAAGGCTAATCATCCAGAATGAAATGTTGTCTGCGAGACCAGACAGTGATGCCCTTTTCTGAGATCACGTGGCTTCAGCAACTGATTTCCTTTCTTTCTTCTCTCCTCACTCATTCTGCCTTCAGCTCCCTCATTAATCATGGCTGAACTTCTGCCCAGTGCCTGCCCAGGCTCTGGGGATGGTGTGGCAGGTCTCACTATGCATTCTCTGCGCTGAAGGGGAGGCCGGCTGTGAATGTCCTCTGCGTTAGGCAGATGTAACATCACAGTGATCAGGTACCAGGTTACAAAAAGGGGGCTAGAGAAGACTCCATAAAGAAAGCCTGAGCAGATTAGCTGGTCCCCGAGGGCCCAGTACATGAAAGATGCCTAGTAAGTGTCTAAGGAAGCGAGTGGGTGGATGGAACTGGACCCCTGGTGGAGCTGTCTGATGCCCACAAAGCCATACTTGAGTAGTGAATGTTCTGGTTTCCTCTTCTCCTTCACTGTGTCCTACAGGAGGGAAGTTGTCAGTGGCTCTAAAACAGTCTAACAGTGGTAGTGGGGAGGAAGCTGGGAGACACCCAGCTTCTGGATCATGGAAATGGGGGAGCACCCCTAGCAGCCTGCACCTCAGCCTCATCTGCCCATCTCCTGTCTAGTAGACCAGTCTCACTCCTAGACCAATAGTGCTTCCAGGACCTGACTGATTCTCCACACTTGGGGGCTTTGTAATGTCCTTCCGGCTATCTGGATTCCGACTCATTCTTCAAAATCCAATTTAAATGTCAGTTCCTCTGTAGAAACTTTCTCAAAACTCCCTGTGTAGACTGACCTCTACTAAATGGGTAGAAAGATAGAAGATAGATGATAGATG